AGCTGGTCATAGGCGGCACCATATTCCCACATAAACGCATTCACAAAAGCACATGGACTTCACCGGATCACTCTACACAAAACCAAATCGACCATATTTGCATCAACAAAACGTTCAGGAGGACTATAGAGGACGTGAGAACCAAGAGAGGAGCTGATATTAGCATCAGATCATCACTTGCTGGTCGCCAAGATGAAATTGAAACTCAAGAAGCACTGGACAACGAGGCGGACAACATCACAAAGGTTCAATACGGCTTACTCCAGGATACTGACAAACTCAATAAATTCAAGAGTGCCCTCGGCAATAAGTTCCGGGTCTTTCATGATCTACTCAATGGAGAAGGAACTACTGTGGAGAGCAACTGGAAGGGGATCAAAGAGGCAATCACTTCAACATGTCATGAGGTCCTGGGTCACAAGAAGCACCACCACAAGGAATGGATCACTGTTGATACACTGGATAAGATTCAAGAAAGAAGAAACAAGAAAGCAGCAATCAATACCAGCCGAACAAGAGCAGAAAAAGCCAAAGCACAAGCTGAATACACAGAACCAAACAAGCAAGTGAAGAGGAGCATCAGAACCGACAAACGTAAATATGTGAATGATTTAGCAATGACGGCGGAAAAGGCTGCAAGAGAAGGAAACATGAGACAATTGTATGACGCGACAAAGAAACTCTCTGGAAATCGCCGCAAACCAGAACGACCAGTGGAAAGCAAGGAAGGCAAGGTAATCACCCACATTGAAGAGCAACAAAACAGGTGGGTAGAACACTTCAAAGAACTCTTGAATCGACCAGCTCCACTGAACCCACCCAACATCGAAGCAGCACCCACGGACCTCCCAATCAATGTTGGCCCATCAACAATTGAAGAAATCAGCATGGCCATCAGACAAATCAAGAGTGGCAAAGCAGCAGGACCAGACAACATCCCAGCAGAGGCACTAAAAGCAGACGTAGCGGCAACTGCAAGGATACTCCACATTCTCTTCAATAACATTTGGGATGAGGAACAAGTACCAACAGACTGGAAAGAAGGACTTCTAATCAAAATACCGAAGAAAGGCGATCTCAGCAAGTGTGATAACTACAGGGGCATCACTCTTCTCTCAATACCGGGAAAAGTCTTCAACAGGGTATTGTTAAACAGGATGAAGGACTGCGTAGACGCCCAACTTCGTGACCAACAGGCAGGATTCCGTAAGGATAGATCGTGTACAGACCAAATCGCAACTCTACGGATCATTGTGGAACAATCAATTGAATGGAATTCATCACTCTACATCAACTTCATTGACTACGAGAAAGCATTTGATAGCGTGGATAGGACAACAATATGGAAGCTTCTACAACACTGCGGCGTGGCTGAGAAGATAGTCAATATCATACGGAATTCTTACGATGGATTAGACTGCAAAATCGTGCGTGAAGGACACCTGACAGACTCGTTCGAAGTAAAGACCGGTGTGAGGCAAGGTTGCTTACTCTCACCCTTTCTCTTTCTCCTGGTGATCGACTGGATCATGAAGACGTCAACGTCTGAAGGGAAGCGCGGGATACAATGGACATCTAAGATGCAGTTGGATGATCTAGACTTCGCAGACGATCTGGCCCTTCTATCCCAAACGCAACAACAGATGCAGGAGAAGACAAACAGTGTGGCAGCAGTCTCAGCAGCAGTAGGTCTCAACATACACAAAGGGAAAAGCAGGATTCTCCGATACAACACAGAATGCACCAATCCAGTCACAATTGACGGGTAAGATTTGGAAGATAAAAAAACCTTTACGTATTTGGGCAGCATCATTGATGAACAGGGTGGATCTGATGCAGAAGAGCTCAAAGCAACTGCCAACCAACACCAAGGTCAGGATTTTCAATACAAATGTCAAGACAGTTCTACTGTATGGGGCAGAAACCTGGAGAACTACAAAAGCCATCATCCAGAAAATACAGGTGTTTATTAACAGTTGTCTACGCAAAATACTTCAGATCCATTGGCCGAACACTATTAGCAACAACCTACTGTGGGAGAGAACAAACCAGATCCCAGTGGAGGAAGAAACCAGGAAGAAGCGCTGGAAGTGGATAGGACACATATTGTGGAAAGCACCGAACTGCGTCACAAGTCAAGCGCTCACATGGAATCTTTAAGGCCAAAGAGGGAGATGAAGACCAAAGAACACATTACGCTGGGAAATGGATATAGACATGAGAAAAATGAACAAGAATTGGATGGAACTAGAAAAGAAGGCCCAGGACAGAGTGGGTTGGAGAATGCTGGTCAGCGGCCTATGCTCTATTGGGAGTAACAGGCGTAAGTAAGTAAGTAAGTAAAGAAGAGGAATACCAGTAAAATAGTATACAGAAGGATAACTATTGTTTACACGGTTGACGAATAAATTGCTGTTAATATATTAATTGACTTCACAAATCTCTTAGACATAACTCTCATTTATAAATTTACCGAATGAAGACGCTGAAATACTGCAGACACATATTTGAACATTTCTGGCACTGTTTTTAAGAGCGTCAGACAATTTTGTTCAAACTACTAACAACATAAAGTATAGAAATTAGTTGTTATTTCATTCTATGCTCTAAGATTGTTGAAATTCTATCAGGCTAAAAGTAATCCATTTATGATGTTACATAATATCAAAATGACTAGAATTTTATGGCTGTAAATCAGTTTATAGAATAAAAGTATAATAGCTTCAATAAGAATCGACTGTTATACAAACTTTACATGATCTGAACTCGAGGATAATTTATTCGTTTTTGAAACACAACGAGACCATTATAATTACAAAATGAGCAAAACTAATATTTCTTATAAATTAGACGCTCTACATTAATATACATGTTTCATGAGTGAATATAAAATTAATATAAATTAAATGATTTTGAATAAATTAACGGTATCAATTTGAGTTTATTGCTATTCAAAACGCTAATTAGGAGTTAATGATAGGACAATTGGAAAAGTAGTCTGTAGGTTAGTGAAAACGTCTTTTCAACATTCCCTTTCTCTATTTTACCATGAAAGAATCTTTAAATATGGGAAAAATTGAATAGTTTACGATTGATAACAATAAAAGCTACTTATTTATCAATTTGGTGACTAGCGTTGATTAAATGCTTAAGAATAGGGTTTCTCATTAACCTTTTCAGTCCATTTCCCATAGATGAGGGTTGGTGACCGGAAATGTGGATTCTTTTAATCATACGCTTATTGTAAGTAGTTCAAAGGAAATTGGACACGGCTGGAAATATAGACCACAAAACCTTTAAATCTATTTTGGTTTCAATATTGAAAAATGAAAAAACATTCTTTGTATAGCTTTTCTTGCAAGTCATGTTAGTAATTAAATACCTATCTAACTTTTGGAAGTCAGTTTAAAGAACAAAGGTTTTCAACTACTACAAGGCATATCACTTTTGTTTGGCATGCGTAACAGCCTGACTAAAGAAAAGCAAATAACTCTGAAATCCCTTTCAAATATGCAAATGCTCCAGCACTGCTAACTCACTCCTCGTCATATAATCTCTAATAAATAACCGAAGTCCAAGAAGAAGAAAATATATTCACCAATGCAAACCGATTTGAAATCAAATCGCAGGCGAGCAAATAATTATCTAACATTCAAATAAACACACAGTTTACATGGCCATTGTTAAAAATATTAACCATACATTAGACAAAAGCAAATCTATATTAATTGTCATCAGAAGATTGAAGGAAATCAATCCCTATCCAGTAGATCATTGGTAATTTATGTTTTCAACTCGAAAGTAAAGTGAAAACAGCGAAAAATATTTCATTCGTATTGCACAGAAATGAAGTAAAAATAATCTCGCACCAGTCAACAAGTAAAAAATGTTAAGGGAAATATATTCAATATAAAACAATTATTGAAAACATTTCATGTTTGTAATAGCACGGGATATGACGATTTGGAAAGTATCGGCAGAGTGAACAGCATCTAAGTTCATCAATACAGTATTACAAATAGATAAAATAAATATTTTCAGGAAGATAATTAAAAATAATTTAGTTCGTGAAAAGAAACCAATCAGACAATCAGTCAAATTCAATTTCATCCGACTGTAAATTATTCACAGATAATTACGTTGATAATCGAAATATTAAAATAAAATAACCCAAATATATGATTTACAGGCAGATATGGCGATCGCATTGGTGATAAATGATGGGCTGCCTTATCAAATCATCAAATATTCTAGGTAAATAAAGTGAATAAGAAAACTGAAACAAGTATATATTGACAACAGCAAGCGTCTGTATTATCTATGATTGGATCTGAGCTTACCTGCCTTCCAATCGATTATGCGTTTACTTATATAGTGTGGTACGTTGATTGCACCTGACTCTATATTAGGTCTCCCACTTGAGAGAGAAATGATGTCAAGGTTTTGAGGAATAATATTCAGTTTGTTGAAGAGTATACCCAAGTAAGCATCGTCAATACGAATATGCTGCGTAAATGCACTGGCAATTGCTAGTCGTTTGACGATATTCGAGCCCAAAATATAGGTAGCCCCATAAAAGTAGGGAGGATATCTTGCCCATGGGAATTCCTTAAACATTACCGCCCAAACGTTACTTATATTACCATCATAGCTTGGTCTAATAACAATGGAAACTTCGTGTCGAAGCCCGCCAGTCAATTCTCTCAAACAATCTGTTGTGTGATTTCTATAAAACTTGATCACATTCCATGGAACCAAATCATAATCATTATCTACAAAGAGGAATAACGGCACTGAATCCGGGCAAAGTGCTGACAACCAACGAAATGTAAATATGAGTTTTGTGGTCAGATTAAAATATGTATCATGAAAAGAACCAACCAAAATGTCTTCGTGAAAATCTGCTTCCATTGCAAGTCGTTTAATAAATGTCCATCTATCTCTGTCATGCTTCCTCGATAACCTCCACCAAGAATTTCTCAGTTGAAATTTATAATTACCAAATGTGAACATGTTTGATTCATTTGGATAGGGTATACCCACAACAAAGACGAATTGGACAGTGATATTCGACCATAAGTGCTTCTGCATAAATGTATTTCGTGCATGGTCCCGTTCATTCGAACAGTAGCTACAGGATTTGATCACAACAATTAAGTCAGGAACACGTTCTCTCCCACATGGGTTGCAAATACTTTTTGGCAGTCGTAATACTAATATGTCCGGATTGTTTATTGGCAACTGAAAATAGAAAAAACGCATTATGGTCACCGAACAAAGAGATGTAACCAGAAGATTCACATTATTGTTCAACGATAAATAGTAATTTTCTCGTATCTTTCTAAGATTGTCCGTTCTTGTTCTGCATACAAAAAAGTGATAATGTTGTAGCTATATACGATCGTGTACATCGACGTGTTAAGTTTGTTGTGACCTGGACATGAAATGAAAGTACAGTGAAGCAGTCTTTCAGCTATACCATTCGGTTACTCATAGAATGTGCGACTAGAATGCTACCAATCCACTGACGAGTTGTACTCAACAACATCGCACATGTGAAATATATTTCACGATAGTGTCAAGGCAGTTGTGCAATACGCATTGCGCGGAAAAAAGTAGACAAGGTTTCGACCTTGTCTGACTAACGCATTTCTGTACGAAGATGACGGCGACTTACTAGGTCCCAGGAGACTTTTGTGGCAAATGCCAGGGTGATTCTGTCCCCAGTGAAATAAATCACTCCTTACTCGAATTCCTTCAAAATGAGTGAGTGTAAGTATTAGACATGTATATATTTTGATGCCAGTATGTAAGGTAACCTATCTAAAAATGACCAAAATAACTTACTGTAGTTGATGGAAAACCCTTTTCAGAATCGTATATCACTTTGTCAAAATCTAATGTTTGAGGAAATAAATTGTATCCGGATGACCAGAGGCCCGGGGATCTCATTATGTTGTCCTCATTTCTTGTGGTGAGGCGTAGATATTTTCGATAGTATGGGCTATCGAAAGGATTCTCAGCATTCTTAGCAACTGGAACACGTAAAGCAAGATTGATTATTGGCAACGCATCATCAAACAACTCAGCTATAGAAGACGGTGGCCATTTTGACGTTAGATCTGTGTGGTTCCGTCTGTGTTGTCTGTTCGGTCTGTTTATATCTCCGATGCATTTAAGCCATGAACTTCTTGACTGTGTACATTGTTTAAAGTAGACATTCTTGCAAACCGAGTCAAACAGTGAATAGGTATTAATCGAATCGTTACTATCAAATGACCACATGAAAATTATGCCAACCGTCCATAAACATACAATCGGGATCAGTACACTCCAAATCAATAACATTTCCGAATTGGATGACAATGTGAAGCAATTTATTTCTTAGTCATAATAGAGTTGGCTTTTGACAGATATCTTGGACTTTCGAGCGATCGTTTATATGAAAACTCTTGTCAGTTAGCATCCGGTATTCCTGGTTAACGTGAATTACAATATAGTAATGTCGTTATATATAACAGAAAAGTATATAAGCACTAAATTTTGTCTAATCCTTTATACGTTTTACAAATTAATTTTAAATGAGTTTCACCATAGTATACTAATCTGATAATAATCAAATTACTATGCTAACAATCTTTCTTTAACATATAAAAAGACACTAAGAAAGTGAAATGTTTACCTCGCAAATATGTTAAATAAATAAATTTCATATCATAAACTGCTGGAAACACTTATGCAAACTGATAGAATAAGAAATGCTTAAAAAATTACACAAATAAATCAATTTCCTGTTAATCAATATCACATTCTTTTTCTCAAATTGTTGTCCACATACTGATTTTGAAAATACGAGGATCGAAAGTGTCCATAAACCTACTATGAGTATATATAAAGTGGATGGTATTAAATCTAACAACCACAGTAAAAGCAAAATGAGTTCTGCTGATCAAAATAAAGTATAACCTTCACATGAATAATGATCAAATGGAACAACTCAAAATCATGATAGATTTCAGTGTCAATCCACTTCGACTAAGGTGATGATTGGAGGCAGTCGACAGAGAACGTATATGTGCTCAACATTTTCATGTGAAAAAAAACATCACCACTGAAAAATCCCTCTCCCACTGAATTGTTGGTTGTGTAATTATGATACAGAATAATTGATGGTATTTGAAAGAACAACACAGTCAATATGAAAACTGTAGTCAATTTCTTAGAAAAATATATTCCACAAAGTTTATATCTTGTAATAGTCATCAGGAATTATTGCGACTTGAATGTTGTTAACACCCGTTTTCTAATTATTATACACCATTTTTAGTAATCAACTCCGCCTGGAGTCCAAGCCTGGATAAAAGAGAAGGGTTGGGCATGGGGTTAGCGACACCGTCCCGTAGAAAACTAACTCGCCAAAAAATTGCTAACCAGAAAAAATTATGAAAACCTTTTAAACTCTGCCCTGGGAGTCAGGTATTCATTTAGACGAGTTATGACGTCTCATTATGGAAGCCGAGCTCCTTCGGTAGTCACGAGGCTGATGCCCCTTCTGACAACCAGAGCGACCATATATTTAGGTACATGGAATACTCGTACAATGTGGGAGACTGGCAGAGTCTTCCAAATTACTGCAGAAATGAAGAGATACAACCTAGAGGTGCTTGGGATCGGTGAAACACATTGGACAAAAACGACTACCTTCAGAGGAGCCTCTGTTATACTCTGGCCATGAAGAAGAAAACCCCCCACATACACAAGGAGTTGCGTTGATGTTATCAAAACAAGTACAAAATACACTTATCGGTTGGGAATTTCATAGACCAAGGATCATCAAAGCCTCCTTCAAAACAAAGAAAGAGGGCATTTCAATGAACGTCAGCCAATGCTATATGCCTACCAACGACTACAATGAAGACGTTAAAGGTCAATTCTACGATAAGCTGCAGTTAGTCGTCGAGAAGTGCCCAACAAAGGACCTGACCATTCTGATGGGAGAATTCAATGCCAAGGTTGGAACGGACAACACTGGATATGAAGACATCATGGGACGACACGGACTGGGAGAAAGGAACGAAAATGGTGAGAGATTTGCAAATCTATGTGCCTTCAATAAGCTGGTCATAGGCGGCACCATATTCCCACATAAACGCATTCACAAAAGCACATGGACTTCACCGGATCACTCTACACAAAACCAAATCGACCATATTTGCATCAACAAAACGTTCAGGAGGACTATAGAGGACGTGAGAACCAAGAGAGGAGCTGATATTAGCATCAGATCATCACTTGCTGGTCGCCAAGATGAAATTGAAACTCAAGAAGCACTGGACAACGAGGCGGACAACATCACAAAGGTTCAATACGGCTTACTCCAGGATACTGACAAACTCAATAAATTCAAGAGTGCCCTCGGCAATAAGTTCCGGGTCTTTCATGATCTACTCAATGGAGAAGGAACTACTGTGGAGAGCAACTGGAAGGGGATCAAAGAGGCAATCACTTCAACATGTCATGAGGTCCTGGGTCACAAGAAGCACCACCACAAGGAATGGATCACTGTTGATACACTGGATAAGATTCAAGAAAGAAGAAACAAGAAAGCAGCAATCAATACCAGCCGAACAAGAGCAGAAAAAGCCAAAGCACAAGCTGAATACACAGAACCAAACAAGCAAGTGAAGAGGAGCATCAGAACCGACAAACGTAAATATGTGAATGATTTAGCAATGACGGCGGAAAAGGCTGCAAGAGAAGGAAACATGAGACAATTGTATGACGCGACAAAGAAACTCTCTGGAAATCGCCGCAAACCAGAACGACCAGTGGAAAGCAAGGAAGGCAAGGTAATCACCCACATTGAAGAGCAACAAAACAGGTGTGTATAGCACTTCAAAGAACCTGCCCAACATCGAAGTAGCAACCACGGACCTCCCGGTCATCAACAGTTGAAGAGATCAGCATGGCAATCAGACAAATCAAGGGCAACAAAACAGCATCTCAGCAGGGGCACTGAAAGCAGACGTAGCGGCAACTGCAAGGATACTCCACATTCTCTTCAAGAAGATTTAGAAGGAAGAACAAGTACCAACAGAATGAAAGGAAGAACATCTGATCAAGATACCAGCAAGTGTGATAACTATAGGGGCAACACTACAGATCATTAAGGAGCAATCAGTTGAATAGAATTCATCACTCTACATCAACTTCATTGACTACGAGAAAGCATTTGATAGCGTGGATAGGACAACAATATGGAAGCTTCTACAACACTGCGGCGTGGCTGAGAAGATAGTCAATATCATACGGAATTCTTACGATGGATTAGACTGCAAAATCGTGCGTGAAGGACACCTGACAGACTCGTTCGAAGTAAAGACCGGTGTGAGGCAAGGTTGCTTACTCTCACCCTTTCTCTTTCTCCTGGTGATCGACTGGATCATGAAGACGTCAACGTCTGAAGGGAAGCGCGGGATACAATGGACATCTAAGATGCAGTTGGATGATCTAGACTTCGCAGACGATCTGGCCCTTCTATCCCAAACGCAACAACAGATGCAGGAGAAGACAAACAGTGTGGCAGCAGTCTCAGCAGCAGTAGGTCTCAACATACACAAAGGGAAAAGCAGGATTCTCCGATACAACACAGAATGCACCAATCCAGTCACAATTGACGGGTAAGATTTGGAAGATAAAAAAACCTTTACGTATTTGGGCAGCATCATTGATGAACAGGGTGGATCTGATGCAGAAGAGCTCAAAGCAACTGCCAACCAACACCAAGGTCAGGATTTTCAATACAAATGTCAAGACAGTTCTACTGTATGGGGCAGAAACCTGGAGAACTACAAAAGCCATCATCCAGAAAATACAGGTGTTTATTAACAGTTGTCTACGCAAAATACTTCAGATCCATTGGCCGAACACTATTAGCAACAACCTACTGTGGGAGAGAACAAACCAGATCCCAGTGGAGGAAGAAACCAGGAAGAAGCGCTGGAAGTGGATAGGACACATATTGTGGAAAGCACCGAACTGCGTCACAAGTCAAGCGCTCACATGGAATCTTTAAGGCCAAAGAGGGAGATGAAGACCAAAGAACACATTACGCCAAAACGTGGAGACAAACATAAGAAAAATGAACAAAAATTTGACAGAAATGGAAAGGAAGGCCCAGAACATAGCGGGTTGGAGAATGCTGATAGGCAGCATATGCTCTATTGGGAGTAACAGGTGTAATTAATTAATTAATTAAGTAGATAAGTAAGTAAGTAATAGTTATCAATGAGATCTCTTAACTCATACATGAACGTCGTAAACTCAAATTTAATTTGTGAAAGGATAGAAATACTGAGATTGTACCATCAATGCATTGGTTTGTAAAATGAACACATAGCTTCCTCTAATTAACTCAATATATATCATGAGTCAAACGTATTCGTAAGTGAACTATTATTCTATTTTCTCTTCAAAATAAATGTGAAAAATAAACAATAACAATGTCATATTTTTTTCTTTTTACCAAACGTAATTCGAAGTTAGTTTATTTAATGATGTGATATATGATTAGTACCGGAATGCTTATTGCGCATAAATCTTCTTCTAAATTAAAATCTGCAAATCTAATAAATAACAGTAGAAGAATGAAGATGAATTTCAGAAGAATCTTCACTTAATGACTTCTGGATTTTAATAAATTAAACAGAGGACAACTCTACCTGCATCCCATTTAGAGTCACTGTCGATCCCAAACCAGAATAATGGAGGAGGGTCGAGTGTGTGATTAGCAGCCACATACCGTAGAAACGAACATTGATAAAACATTGCTCAGCAGAAGAAAATCATATAAACCACATAAATCATATAAAACCAAATCTACAAGTTGCAGCATCTTCATTTAGAACAGTTAGGACGCCTCATGGTTAAAGACCAGACTCTTCGGAAATCACGAGACCGATACCCACTCTGACAACCGAAACAACAATTGACAAATGCTCAAGGAGCTCACTCACAACCCGACATTCTAGTTGAGATCATCAAAATACAAATTGGAGGTGACCGAAGAAAGTGAAGCCCGTTGGATGATGAATTCCAAGAAGCACCATCATCAACAATCGATCACTATTGATCCTCTGATCAACATTCAAGAAAAGAAGAGTAGGAAGACAGGAATCAACAAATACCAAACAAAATAAAGTGAAGAATGTGAATCAGGAGACTACAAGGAAGCACATCTCATCAAGATAACAAAGAGAATAGATCTCAGCAAATGCGAGAATAGGTGAGGCATCATACTACAGTCACTACCAGCAAATGATTTCAACAGAGTGTTGTTGAACCGGATGGATGCTTCAGTAGACGTCCAACTGTGAGATCAACACTCCGGATTGCGTGAGGACAGACTGTGGGCACCAACCGAATCACACTTGATGGAGAAGCTGTGGGAGAGGTGCAATGCTCTACATACCTGATTAGCACCATCAATAAACAAACAAAATCCGACGCACGTGTGAAGGCACAAATTGGCAAAGCACGTCCAGCATAACCACGATCGAAGAACATCTACTACTCAAAACAACTACCGGTCAGCATCAAAGTCACAATCTTCAATACAAACGTCAACACAATTCTATTTAGGACAGTTTGTGATTTCGTCCTCAACCAGTCTGGTCTTATCGTTGAGTGTTCGTCAGGCTTCCGGAAGTCTACCGACTATTTAGGAACAGGTTTGATTACTGCTTGTGTTGTTTCAGCACCACATTCAATTGTCTATTTATCACCAACACCTCCAACATCACACCAGCTAAATCGAACTACTTTTCATAAATCCAGTTTCGTTGTTACGCTTTTCCAATCGCATCCATCACCTTCACTCAAACACATCCAATAACACTGTTCGCTCAAAATCACATCCATCCATATTATCTGTGATGAGAGTTCTAGGAAATTTCCACGATATTTACCAACAACAACAACAACATCATCATCAACAACAACAACAACACCAAACGGTTCAGTTTGCAGACGATCGAAGGTCTCAATTACCCATTCTAACTACTACGTACTTATCAGTAGTCACACGATTTTAGGCTAATGTGACTTCATCATGAACGTGCTATATGAAGTTGGAAAGCCATAACAGTAAACTCTCTGCATATCTGTTCTTCTGTGATACCAATCAATAAGCTACAAAATCCATCAATTTCATCACATCAAACCAATTCTATAGACTTCAATGAAGCTGTGAAGCACGTTGAAATGAAAAGCATTAATGACCTAGTCTATTTCTGAATGTTCAGTGCCCACAAATCTATTCATTCATAGGCAACTACACTATCACTGATATGAGATTGAACACATCGATTTATTACCATAATCATGTAGCACACCACCATCTTCATGTTCGTTGAATTGCAGCTTTAGGAAAAGTGGTTTATTAGTAGCCGTTGATGTCGCTATTTCCCTATTTGTTACATGCAAATGTTTCTTCTCGTCGATAACTCATTTCAATCAACATATTATGTATGAAATTTAATTCCTCATTCATTCTATCGACTGAGCATATCTTCCTAGTTCTACTTGCAAGACATTTCTATTCCACTGTTATCATTGACTCATAAACTGCCTTGATTGGTTTAGTAATTACATCTATGCATATAAATATTATTGCATATTACAGTTAAGCTTGATGAATATCTAGTGGAAAATAACATTGTTCCAAATGAAAAGCATTAATGACCTAGTCAATTTAGCTGTGTGATTCAACTCGTCAATAGAACAACATGAAATAACAAACTAAATCATATAATGATTTCAACGTAAATTTCACTTCTCAACTGTAATTCGATTTCATTGTTCCTGTGGAGTTATAGAAACGGTGATTGATGTCCAGTGTAAAACTCAGTTTGAGTGATAGACATATTACTTCTTAATGACCTCTTCACCCGAGACGGTTGTTTTACTAGTTGTCTTCATATGACGATCTTAATGAAGTACCTTAATAACTTCATCTGATTTTCAAATTTTTGTGGCTTCACGCCAGAGCGCTCACAGTAGTCGACCGTAAAACGTAAAGAAAAATGCAAAAAAGGTGTTAACAAAAAACTCATTTATTCGGCAATATTTAAAATCCTTTGATAATTAGTCACTGACTGTCATCACTTCCACCTCTTTGTATTCTTCACTATCTAATTATTTACACACATCTTATTACGTAATGATTTTAATGTTTTGTGATTAATATTCCTAGTCTATTTACCCATGTTTGTTTGACCTACTATTTCCAACGATTAACTATTGATAAGAGTTTTGTTATTGTATTTTATTATTCTTACTATTATCAGTTCACCTGTCTTCCTACTACTATAAACTTGTACTTTTACCTATTATGTGTAGAGACTTATTCTATTTCATTGTGATTATTGACCCATATTGCCTTGATTGGTTTAAAATTATTTTTTTAAAAAAATTATTTCAAGTTTCGACTACATTGATCAGCCTTCATAATGTTGAGAATAATTAATTATTTATTGTTTATGAATTAGTGATACCTGTGTTTACCTGGTAGAGTGATTGTTGAACTATTCTTTCTGATTACAATAAAAGTCGTAATTATATTCCTAGATTCCTAGACTTAAAAGTAACACTTTCATTTTCATTATGTTTCAAATAATTTAAATAGTTGCCACATATTTCGTAAAATCAGGTTTCTAAGCATTTGATTTTATCTACAATAAATTTCCTCAGGGTGATGTTGTTAGTGAATCGCATCTTTTCACTTTAGAAGTTTCATAAAAAGCATTTCGTTTGATTAGTGAATATGTTTTTTATTCCAATTAACAAATAATACGTAAGGACAGAATGTACACGATGGTTACTTATTTAATAAAGTTTAACGAAGACAAACAAATAAAGTAACAGCATAGAATAATGTATTAGTATAAAAATAATTTTGGAAAATATATTGAACAATCGCATCGCATTCGGAAACACTTTAACAAAATAAGTTGATTAAGTATTCCAAAAGTTGATTCGACAGTACATACTGAGATCAAAACATTATTTGATAAGCTATTTGTTTGATACACAATTATTTCACGTTAACTAATGCATTAGTTCATTCAGACGGAGTATTCAACAGGTTAAGAGTATCATTTATGTCAAAATAAGTTAAAATGAAAATAAAACTGTGAATTTTCGTCCAATTACCGTAGAAAAATGTAATTAATAGTTCATAATGTCGCCAGTTTTCCAATTAATAACATCACCCGCAATATCTACATTGATAATGACTAGACAAGATTTATTTTCCGGTATTGATTCATCCAACGAAAACTCCTTCATATTAGTCAGTGTCCTGTTTAGTCGACTCAACACAATTCCTAAAAATGAGTCATCTATACGAATGCTTCGTGTGAAAGCCATAGCCACAGAAGCATCACTGACAATATCTGAACCCAACAAATAACCTATTCCATAGAAGTAAGGTGGATAGTAATCCCATGGGTATTCATTCACTGAAACCGACCATTTCAAATCGAACTTCTCCTTTGACGGTCTTGCCACTACACTTGTATAATGCACAAAACCTCCTACGGTCGATCTCGAAACAGAAGCATTCAGACTCCTGACAAGTCGAATAGTGTTTTCAGGCAGTAATGCATAATCGTCATCAACGAACAGATACAATGGTGTTTGTCCCTTACAAAATGTAGCAGCCCATCGATATGACAATATCATCTTGGACGTCAAGTTGAAATACGTATCATGAAATGACCCGACCAACATATCATTGAATTTTCCACTCTCGTCACTCAGCTTCTTAGCAGCAATCCATCGTGAGCTCTCGTAAAGTTTAGAGAGTTCAGAAGCCTTCCGACCAAGATTCACAGTGACTCCGTCGAAATGATACACATCCGTTTCATTTGGGGTTGGCAATCCAACAACGAAAACAAATCGAATTCGGAAATCTTTCCACAGGTGTGATTTCATGTAGGTGTCTCGAGCGTACGATCGTTTGTCAAAGCAATAGATACACGACTTCACTATTACTATGAGATCCAGACTTTCTGGTGGTTTGGTGGGACTGCAAGCACTCGTTGGTAGTTGTACAACAATGATCGATCCTCCGTTGACCGGCTTCTGGAATAGAGAATGAAAGAAACCACGGAAATATCACATTGGTGAACTGGTAGATGACAATCAATTTCTACATGAGATATGTATCAACGGCAAGTGCTGTAAAATACACTGTTCTTGTTTGAGTGGATCTTTTACTGAAGTGTTTACTCCAGCCAACACTAAAAACGTGGGAGATACTAGGAAGTCATCAGATGCATCATTTATGTTAGTTGTAATCACTAGAATGCATCACTATTCAAAACCAAGTATCAATAACAATTCAGTCATCCCAAGAGCTATGCCTTTACTTTGACATACAACATGCATGGTAAACTATATGCATTTCCAAATGAACGTCATTTGTTCTGAATCGATTCATAAATAAACGTTTCAATTGAATGAATATTTAAGGTACAAATGTATAAATCTATGATGAACTTCCGGTATTTTAGTAATCATTAGGTGCTAATGGTCACCGTTTTAACCTCGATCATATCATAAGTTAACCACAATCATTGTGACGTAGTAGTGTTGATAACACACTAAGAGCTACGTCAGCCTGCTTATGGATGTTTACAGTCATTGAACTCGTCTGATAGACATCCCAAAACACAAACTGTGAAAACCATCTGTTTTAACACGGTTAACAAATCAGGTTGTGCTGTTACATGTTCCGAAATACGAAACCGTGAACATTCAAAAGAACAAACAGTTTATTAACATGTCAAGCTAGTTTGTACTTTCCGGTAGAACATACTCACGCTATTCACTCTAACGCTGTCCATGTTCTATGCAAAGTAAGTCACCTGTTTCTGACCGCTTCGCTATCAGTATTCGACTTTAACTTGTTAGTTTGTTGAAACTAACTGCTGACATGTGGTATTTCGTTCGCTCATAGGTATTTCTCACGTGTGTTTCAACCAGGCGACCAATATTCGCAAGCGTAAGTTACTTCATCCACCGACGAACTTCCGTACACTTGTAATTGATATCTTCATTTGATCAATCGGTGGTTATTATGTGCATAATCCGTCACCTATTAGGCAGTAATAACAGTCTGTATACTTAAGTTCGCAATTTCAGATAAACATGACATTTATATTTTCTGGTGTTCCTCACCGGGAACCATCTGTTACATATCTGATTGTATCAATTCACAAAGATTTACCAACTATTCGTTTGATAAATCCTATGTTAGACTTTGAATTACATGTTTGATTTAGTCTCCATTAAGAGTTTCATAGACGAAAAGAGTGTAATGTGATGTTTTTAACACTCCAATAACTTTCAGTACAATCGCATATACGAATTTCGGAATATTACATTTCAATAGACTGATAGATACTATATCTCCATGTGTGCCTGTTATCTAGTAGGAACTAAGGCTCCCTGACCACACTGCAATTCGATCGATAGAAATCGATATGCATTAAGAAGCACCAGACATCCATGACATTGGTCATCACCCGGAGAACAATATGAGGAAAAGTGTTCATCTACCAGTTCACTGTGAAAATGAAATAATGAGAGTGACAACCCCTCACATTGTCTCCAATATCAAAGGATGTTTACCTTCTTAATTGACTTATCCAATGCTCTTCCTTGAAGCAACGAACTGATGCTGATAACGTATAAATTTATCAAAACAATGAGAAACGTGATTATCGAAATGAACTAATAACCTAGCCATCACCAATCAAAAAACGTAAAGCGTGATCAGATAACCCTACTTCAATAGCATGAAGTGCTTCTTTCACATTGAAATACTTCGGATGATGCACATTGCGCTTTCTCATTTTCACACTTGACTTCACGTTAGACATTGGAATTACATCACTACTATTCGACAAAACATAACGTTCATTCAACATATCCTTCATATGATTCTCACTATTTATTGTAAATGGAATTTGTATATCGAGAAGTCCGTAGTTTAACGGTGTTTGAAACAGACGAACTGATGATTGGAATCCAGACAATCTTACATAATTTGTTATTCTCAAATCATTCAATTGATCAACACATTGAAGCCACTTTTGCTCCGACTTCGTACATATGCTCAACATTTTCATGTGAAAAAAAACATCACTACTGAAAAATCCCTCTCCCACTGAATTGTTGGTTGTGTAATTATGATACAGAATAATTGATGGTATTTGAAAGAACAACACAGTCAATATGAAAACTGTAGTCAATTTCTTAGAAAAATATATTCCACAAAGTTTATATCTTGTCATAGTCATCAGGATTTAATGCGACTTGAATGTTGTTAGCATTTATATTCTAATTATTATACATCATTTATAGGTATCAATGACAAAACCTCTTAACTCACACACTAACTTCACTGATTCCAATTTAGTATGTAGATAAATAGCGATACAGAGATTGTGTCATTAGTGCACTGTTTTCTAATTTGAACGCATAGTTTCATCTAACTAAATCAATATCATAAGTCAGAAGTATTCTCAAGTGAACTTTTAGTATATTTTCTGAATTTAAGTCTACAACAATGTATAATCCTTGTACGTTGTCTTTCTTCTAAATTAAAATCAGAAAATCTAATAAATAAGAAGAGAAGAATAAAGATGAATTTCAGAAGAATCTTCACCAAATGAATAGGAAGACAGGAATCAACAAATATTAAACAAAATAAAGTGAAGAATGTGAATCAGGAGACTACAAGGAAGCACATCTCATCAAGATAACAAAGAGAATAGATCTCAGCAAATGCGAGAATAGGTGAGGCATCATACTACAGTCACTACCAGCAAATGATTTCAACAGAGTGTTGTTGAACCGGATGGATGCTTCAGTAGACGTCCAACTGTGAGATCAACACTCCGGATTGCGTGAGGACAGACTGTGGGCACCAACCGAATCACACTTGATGGAGAAGCTGTGGGAGAGGTGCAATGCTCTACATACCTGATTAGCACCATCAATAAACAAACAAAATCCGACGCACGTGTGAAGGCACAAATTGGCAAAGCACGTCCAGCATAACCACGATCGAAGAACATCTACTACTCAAAACAACCACCGGTCAGCATCAAAGTCACAATCTTCAATACAAACGTCAACACAATTCTATTTAGGACAGTTTGTGATTTCGTCCTCAACCAGTCTGGTCTTATCGTTGAGTGTTCGTCAGGCTTCCGGAAGTCTACCGACTATTTAGGAACAGGTTTGATTACTGCTTGTGTTGTTTCAGCACCAAATTCAATTGTCTATTTATCACCAACACCTCCAACATCACACCAACTAAATCGAACTACTTTTCATAAATCCAGTTTCGTTGTTACGCTTTTCCAATCGCATCCATCACCTTCACTCAAACACATCCAATAACACTGTTCGCTCAAAATCACATCCATCCATATTATCTGTGATGAGAGTTCTAGGAAATTTCCACGATATTTACCAACAACAACAACAACAACACCAAACGGTTCAGTTTGCAGACGATCGAAGGTCTCAATTACCCATTCTAACTACTACGTACTTATCAGTAGTCACACGATTTTAGGCTAATGTGACTTCATCATGAACGTGCTATATGAAGTTGGAAAGCCATAACAGTAAACTCTCTGCATATCTGTTCTTCTGTGATACCAATCAATAAGCTACAAAATCCATCAATTTCATCACATCAAACCAATTCTATAGACTTCAATGAAGCTGTGAAACACGTTGAAATGAAAAACATTAGTGACCTAGTCTATTTCTGAATGTTCAGTGCCCACAAATCTATTCATTCATAGGCAACTACACTATCACTGATATGAGATTGAACACATCGATTTATTACCATAATCATGTAGCACACCACCATCTTCATGTTCGTTGAATTGCAGCTTTAGGAAAAGTGGTTTATTAGTAGCCGTTGATGTCGCTATTTCCCTATTTGTTACATGCAAATGTTTCTTCTCGTCGATAACTCATTTCAATCAACATATTATGTATGAAATTTAATTCCTCATTCATTCTATCGACTGAGCATATCTTCCTAGTTCTACTTGCAAGACATTTCTATTCCACTGTTATCATTGACTCATAAACTGCCTTGATTGGTTTAGTAATTACATCTATGCATATAAATATTATTGCATATTACAGTTAAGCTTGATGAATATCTAGTGGAAAATAACATTGTTCCAAATGAAAAGCATTAATGACCTAGTCAATTTAGCTGTGTGATTCAACTCGTCAATAGAACAACATGAAATAACAAACTAAATCATATAATGATTTCAACGTAAATTTCACTTCTCAACTGTAATTCGATTTCATTGTTCCTGTGGAGTTATAGAAACGGTGATTGATGTCCAGTGTAAAACTCAGTTTGAGTGATACACATATTACCTCCCAATGATGTCTTCACTCAAGAATTTTGTGTTGAGTCGGCTTTCGGAGAACTTCAACGGAGCCTCTAGAGTCCCAAGAAGGAGCTGAAGAGTCCTAGCCAATCACAGCGCGACGGAGCATTCTAGAATTTCAACGTGGCGTGCTACTATTCGTCAGTAGCACAATATTTCGCTAACGGATTGGCCGAAATATGATGTTGATTTAACAAACGCTAACATCTATAAATACCCATGATTTTCTGTACAAAAACGAAACTCGGAGTAAGGTATTTCTCTCATACTTTGCATCTTCTCTCTGGTGTTCAGGGAGCTATGTAGTTCTAGCGTGCGAGTTACCAGAATAGCTTAGGAAGCGAATATAGCGTTCAATCGACAAGACTTATCATGTTATTTCACTAGTTGTCTTCATCTCACCATCTTCATGAAGTACTTTAATAACTTCATCTGATTTTCAAATGTTTATCGCTGCACATAAAGCTATAAATATTGGATCAATCTTTTGTAGCAAATAATGAAGCTTAATAGAAATCCATTCTATATCATCGTTTCGCATCTGCTACTCACATCCGTATGCGTATGTGTGAATAAACAAGTATTAGGTCATTTGACGATGAGATTAAACAACAGAAGAGGGGGTTGAAGCATTAATAATACAGCGTCCAGATACTGATAAGATGAATCGTGTGACGATTATAGAGGAATTGATGAGTTCATGTAAGTTTCGGATCACTTGAATAAAACATATAAAAGGCACACTGTTATGGGATCGCAATTATCTTGAATTCGGAGTAGATATAAATAGTTATGCAATAATTTTAGAAGATTTGAAGAGTCCACGTTTGTTTAGATGAATGAAAAATTTATTTTAGTGTTCATAAAATAATATTCAGTTTGGTGAATATTGCATATCAAAATTCGGAAAATAATAACAAAGTTATTATTAACATTATTGCACGTGATTCCAATCAAAATTGTCAATCTTCCAAGGTTATGATAAATTCACTACTGTCTCTTTCTGGACACATAAATCTGGTTTGAGTTTTCCAATTGCTACTGCTTCACGAAGGTGAACAGAAGCTGTATTATGTTGTCACCTGATTATTTCAGAAGATTCGTAAACGTGAGCAAAACAGCCGCTGTCAGTAAAATCTTGAGCTATTGCACTCTTTAGAGATGTTGCACCTCTCACTGTCAAATTCTTTGTAAAGCGTGCTTGAAGTGACATTGTCTCAAGCGTTCCTATAAGCTAACTGTTGAATGTCATGATGATTGGTGAATCTCATAGTTTTACATTACTGACTGACCATATACCTACTTGTGACTAACTCGAAAAGATAATTTACTAAGTTCTAGTGAGAACCCGTGACCATTCGATCTCAGGGGAGTCTTGTATGAGAAAAATATCACCAACGGTATTGGATATTACGAAATGACTTAAGTAAAACAAGTGCACTAATGCGTGTCTGATCAGATGGTGGTTTGGAAGTTCAACCTGATAGTCCAAATTTTGGTCGGTCTTGAGGTAGTCGGATATGCACTGCTGGAGAGTCTCAAAAATGAATGTGACAGCCAATCAGTCTCTTCTGATTTTCAGTTTGTCACTAAATATTTCACTAAGATCAGTCCATAAAGTGGGATTATAGAATCAGTAAAACTGTTGGTCCCTCTCTCATAAAAACTCACTTCAGGTATCAACACATTTTCGAAAGTGAAACTCGGGTGAGATAACCGGTAACGTTGTACAAAAACGGAAGAATAATCACTCTCAAATTGGACAAATACAGTGCTCTTCCAGACAAGCTGCCTAATGGTGATTATACAGAAATTTACTAATCGAGTAAACAATTTAATATTCAACATCTATATAAACTAATAGAATGTTTACAATCAGTCAAACAACTTACTGCGTCATCAGATAACCCTACTTCAATAGCATGAAGTGCTTCTTTCACATTGAAATACTTCGGATGATGCACATTGCGCTTTCTCATTTTCACACTTGACTTCACGTTAGACATTGGAATTACATCACTACTATTCGACAAAACATAACGTTCATTCAACATATCCTTCATATGATTCTCACTATTTATTGTAAATGGAATTTGTATATCGAGAAGTCCGTAGTTTAACGGTGTTTGAAACAGACGAACTGATGATTGGAATCCAGACAATCTTACATAATTTGTTATTCTCAAATCATTCAATTGATCAACACATTGAAGCCACTTTTGCTCCGACTTCGTACATATGCTCAACATTTTCATGTGAAAAAAAACATCACTACTGAAAAATCCCTCTCCCACTGAATTGTTGGTTGTGTAATTATGATACAGAATAATTGATGGTATTTGAAAGAACAACACAGTCAATATGAAAACTGTAGTCAATTTCTTAGAAAAATATATTCCACAAAGTTTATATCTTGTCATAGTCATCAGGATTTAATGCGATTTGAATGTTGTTTACACCCGTTTTCTAATTGTTATACACTACTCTACACATGTTTTTATTACGGTAATCGATTTCGCTAAATGTATTCGACCTATCTGCTGTTAGTTTTTATGCGTACTCTCACATTAATATTTGACAGTCGTAATAATGTATAGTTAGTGAGCATAAAATAAAATCGAACTTACTTAAAACTAACATGTGCACGGGACATGTTTTTCATTTGTTCAATGGAAAGGATTTTTATTTTAACTTCAATATTGTATAGATTTATTTGCTATTACCTAGCAGAACTCAAAATGATTTTACATATGGGTTATAACCTTTAGTTTAATTCCACGTCATCACTATATGTCAATTATGTCACGTATTATCATCAGCTGTTTTCTCATTCAACCAAATTAATGTGAAATATAACGAATAAAGTGAAAGAAACCATGGTAGTTTTTATGAAATATAGGGATTGAGAGTGTTTTCAACAACAATCTATGAATGTTTCTGTAGACAGAGTCTTTAGATGACTTACAAGGCATATAACGTTTAGGATGATTAACACTTTGTCTAACACTGTGAACACTGAGAAGTTATAATTGGAAAAATGCTCAAATTATTTACACCGTGTTAAAATTGTGATGGATTTTAAATTCGTACCATAGAAGTATATGTATTTCCAATTCCATTTAACAATGACTAACTCAGTCAAAATAAAATGAAAGGGTTCACAAAATTAAATTCTCAAAGCTGTGATAGATCTAAAACTCCTTTTTAAATCCATAAATTTGTTTTGAATATTGTAATACCAAATTCTGCTGCGAAAGACGTTGCACTGTATCATTTATTAACCATTCAAATACGTTCGCGCATAAGTTGATGTTGAACAGAAAATATACAACATTTAAACTATTGGAAATTTTTTTCTAGAATAAATATCTTTCTATCTTTGCATACTCATATGACCATAGTATAGAAATAGACATAATAGTTATGCAGCCAATAAGTTTTTATTAAATGAGTCTTTACATCAAGATTAGAAGCGATCATGAACGAAGTATTGATGTTATTAGTCATTGTTATCGATAGATAATCGTTGAAGTGTTATTAGGACAAAGATATTTGACAAGTGAACACCTTTTAATACTTGTTTTCATGTTTCAAATGAGTGTTAGATCTTTCATTGTACAGGTTAATAAACGAATCCTGATTATTAACTAATAGTAGTTAATAGTAGATTAACAACTATGAGGAACTCTTTAAAAATATAATCAGACTTAGGTGACATCACACAATGTTATTCATTATTAAAATAATCCTAAAAACATGTTTCCCAGTTTTAGTTAATTGTTTCTATCAATTTTATTGAATCTATATATGATATTATATTGATAGTAAAAGTTCATGTGCATTCATCTTCACTTTTCCTACTTGCTCCACAAATGTTTTTCAGTTTGAACATACCATGTAATAAGTGTGAATAATATTCACTGATAATGCTATACTCATGTTCGAGAACTCAACGATTTGACTAGTCTGTACCGTAGCATAGATGTTAATTTACAGCTTTCTTTGTGAAGATTGTATTTGATAGATCGCTAATATTAAATCTAACAATATATGTTAAAGCTAACAAAGTTTAAAACGTGCTTTGGAAACTGTTCAGTTTTATACAGAATTGAAAAGGACCATAACATTATCTGTTCATATGCATGTTTGATGAGTCAGAATAAATTATTATATACACTGTCCTATTTTAAAGAAAACATTTTAATCATGCATCTACGGAGGTTAATTTCAGACTCTTTAGCAGCGCGTATTGACAACAATGTACACAGGGATAGAACCCAGGACATTTATTTTCAAGCATGAACTCTTAAGCTCTAGACCGATGAGCCGGCATTTTATTAATTCATGATAATGTTATAAAGGGGGGAAGGTTTAGCATTCTACAATCTGATATGGTAAGACAATCAGAAGTAGCCTAATGAGAAGGTCAATCGATTGCAATCAGAAGTGACCTGAAAGAGGAGTGCATTTCATTAGCTAAGAGGTGGATTGATTTCCTAAGGGGTGGAGTTGTGTTTTTTTGATGGAGTTTTGTTTTTTGTGCAAACTTCAGGTAGAAATGAAGTGTTAGAATTCCAGTCGAATATGTGTCCACAGAATGTCCAGATCTTGGATAGAGGCAATTTTAAAAACACCAGAGAATTTTTAAAAGCTTGACACTCAGACCAATCAACAACCAACAAACACATTGAAATAGATCCAATTTATCAACCAATCAGAAAAACTATCGACAAATATAGGACAAAAAGTCAAATCAATGGGAGATACAACCAAAATGAAGAAGTAAACAATGACAGGTTAAAGGTCAAGAATAACCAATTAAGATCGCGGTCTGTGAGCCATATGTGGTGAAATTCGAACACTTCACTTCTACTTGAAGTTTGTAATGATAATGTCTTTCAGAAGAACGATGAAAGCTCCACGACCAAACCATGCAGCTTGGGGAACAAAACTCCATCAAAATTATCTACCTAAGATGAATATCTTCTCCACTATCTCAGAGTTGTAGTATATAAATGAGTATTCGTATATTTTGTTTTCCAGTCCAATATACTTTTTCGCTCACTTTTGTAATCCTATCCAATTAGTCAGTTAGGGGGCTGGCGTTTAGCACGTTGTGTATCAGTACAAGATTTCAGACACCTCCAGTCATGATACAATCTTCGAAATTCCCTATTTGAATATAATCCTTCCAGTATCTCAATTCAGTTTCTATTGTAATTTTTGTTTGAAGTACTTTCATTTAGAATTGATTAGCTTATATTGTGACTAATTTACGTTAATTTCGTCACAGAGTAAATCTCAAAAATGGACACCGTTACTTGCAAAGTGATTAGCATAGATAGGCTTTATGTATGATTTTCTTTTGATTATCAAATTAATTATTATCATCTGGTTAACGTCAAACAAAATACAGTCCTTTTGTATGGAATCACCTGTCTTTACAATTGATTGATCACTGGGTGGTGATCAACTTCATGTATGTCGAGTCCTTCTTAGTTCAGATCGAATCCTATCGACCAAGTTGCAATGTGGCCACTAGTCTAGGTGACTCGCCTTTGCGTGCACTATGTTGAGATTAAATGGTGGTTGGAGGTAGTCAACAGGAAACCCTGAACCCGAGTTTCATGCTACTTGGTACTCGTCAGCAAGATGTACATGCAATCTTGAGGGAACTGGTACTCCCTGACGGATTAGATCCTGTGTCACCCAGCTTCACGGTCTGTCATGGAGCACCAGTTCCCTCAAGATTATAGGTACACTTTGTTGACGAGTGGCATGAAGGCCTATATCTTGAAGAACGATCAACAAAATTGAAATTTCCATTGATATTCTCAATGACTATCTCAAATAACGACTGTGAAAGTAAATTAACCACTTTACTGTTCAGGGAAATGAGAAATAGTATTATTTGCAAAATGTTCCAAGTTATTAGGCAATTTTATTCACGTTCAGTCACATTTTTGGTATCATAAGTATATTAAAGGAATTTTGAGTGAATGAACTCTACTGAACAATTATACCGACAATGTTATTACCTGTTTTTCAGTTATTTCTTCAATCTGCCCAAATAATCTCTTTCTTTGTTAAACATTTTCCTGAATCTTCATCGGTTTCAGATAGATGAGTCTTGATCTGACAGCTATAACTAGTAGTTTTAATTTCGATACCTGGATATCATATTTCCCATTTAAATTTTAAGCATGGCCATCACAGGATACAAATCTTGGGATGAAGATTTATTTAATAGAGACTAAAGAAGACCGATATCAGCAAATAGTGAACTTGTATAAATATATACAGGGTCTCTGAAAATGGTCATAAACTTTAGGGAACAAAATGAGGCACCGAGAAATACTCAAACAGTAACTAAAAATGGACGATGGATTGCTTGAAGAGATCTGATGCTAAAAATAAGATACAAATTTTACAAATGAAAATAATAGTCACCAGTAAATAAATGAATATCTGAAGATTTATTAGGTGGAAAAAGTCTCGGGTAAGTTATTCATAGCACAAAAATAATTCAATGTCTCATTCTACCAGCATCCTTGCTCAAAATAGGCTTCATTAAAAACAAATCGGTACAAAGATTCGACAAACCTGTGAGAAATTAATCCAAATACAAATTACTACAATGATGATAAAAAAAATAAACATTCAAAATATAGAAATGAATAAAAATTGCATGTATTACGTTTAGGTTTTTGTTTATTCAGATAATTAATGTAAGAATCTATATACGAATCAGTTTAAATCATTATTACTTTTATCACACATACAATTGATTAACTTTTGATCCATCTCCATGATAACAGTTGTTGTTTTTTTACATTTAATTTATCATTTTGTGTAGATTTACTATGAGAACTATCTGATATGGTATGCGGGATTTGTTACTTTAATATTCTATCATTTGTTGCTGATTAAGTGACTTCTGCTATAGTATACCAGTAAGATTTAGATCTGACATAATATGACTTCTAATTTGAAGAACTAATTGCAAATTAATAAGAGTTTAATTAACCTATCATCTTAGCTCATCATTTGTTTCAGTTATGATAAGCACCATGTGATGATGACAGTTTGTTGATTATTATGCATAGATTGTGAACATTTGATGATTAATGGAGAAATTTGAATTCTTGACACAAATTTTAACATGAACTTGAACCAGAAATCAGGATAATTGATCCATAATTCTTATTTCTTTGTTTAATAAAGTAACTCAATGACATAGGAAATATTGAATACAAAAATAGTTCATGGTCATAAAATGTATAAATTGGTTTGTATGACACGCTTTTATGATCTCAATAGTCGATAAAATTATGAACTGACTATTAAAATTAGTTTTTGTTAGCCAGACAGCATTTGCATGTCTATAATATACATTTATTCAGATGACTAATATAAGATTATTTATAACCGAATATTTACAGAAAGAAAGATTAATTTATTATTGTGGTTTAAGCAAACAGTAAACCAGCGCTTGATTTTTGTATAATAATGGCTCCTGATGCTTCGAAATTTGTATCAGTGTATACTCTGAACCCTTTAATTTGGTTGAGCTTCTTGTTCAATCTCGCCAAAACAATCCCAAGGTATGCATCATCAATACGAAGATGTTGTGTAAATGACATTGTAACGGAAGCATCACATACAACGTCAGCTCCAAGCATATAGCCAATACCATAAAAGTATGGAGGATAATAACTCCATGGATATTCATGAGGTGAAACATCCCACTTTGAGTTGTAACTTTTATTTTGTGGTCGCGATACAACTGATGTTGCATGAATTGGACCACCGACATATGACCTCATATTTGATATTTTAATTGACTTTACGAGTTTCATTGTATTGTTCGGATGAAGTACATAATCATCGTCAATAAATAAAAATAATGGCGTTATATTCTTACAGAAGGTACACGCCCAACGAAAAGATAACATCATTTTCGTAGTTAAATTGAAGTAAGTATCAAAGAAACCACCAACCAACATGTCACCATAAAATCTGCTTTCATTTCTCAACTCTTTTATTACCGACCATCGAGAAAATTCACGTTTTCTCGATTCCGACCATGATTTCCCATTCAACTGAATATTTACACCATCAAAATGATAAATATTTGTCTCATTTGGTATTGGTAATCCAACAACAAATACAAATCTGACTGTTAAGTTATTCCACAGACTTATGTTCATGTATGTTTTACGCGCGTATGACCGTTGTTCATAGCAATAAGTGCAAGATTTGATTAAAACCACCAAATTTAGTTTCTGTTTTTCATGACAAGGATCACAAGCACTTCTTGGGGTT